GGGGGGTGTTATTTAAAATGTGGAAGTTGATGAGCCGGGACTGTGAGGGGGACGTCTTTGGATGGTTGGCGGTTGTCTGAGGTCTGTCTAACCCTGTCTCATGGTTCTGGCTGGATGATAAATTGGACGTGACTGTCCTGAGCTGTCTAGAAACTGTCTCACAGTGCTGTCTATCACTGCTGCTTGCTGCTGATGCATTGGACTTTCATGTCGGTCAGCCTGCTGCCCTACCCCCCCCCCCCCCTTACTGTCCACCAGAAAACTTAGTATTCTGAAGTGTGTGCTGTACCCACTGAAGTTCTTTGTCTCCCTAGCAGCGGTGTCTGTTTATCGTTCACATTGTGTCCAGTTGTTTGTGTTGTCGCAGTTTGATGTGTCACACCTTGTTTGTGTTTGCGTTTGTGTTTGCGTTTGTGTATGTGTTTGTTTTTGCGTTTGTGTTTGCGTTCGTGTTTTTTGTTCAAATTTGCTTTAGCGTTTGTGTTTGCTTTTATGTTTGCGTTTTCGTTTGCGTTTGTGGTTGCTGTTTGTGTTTGTGCTTTTTTTGTTTTGGTTTTAGTTTTGGATTTGGTTGTGGTTAGTTGTGGTTGTGGTTAAGTTTAGGGTTAGATTAGGTTTAGGGTTATGTGTGATTTTCTCAAACGTCCATTTTTTTCAATTAAACATTTAACTGGAAAAGTAATAATTTCCCACATCCGGGCAATGCCGGGTATATGCTGCTTAATAAACACACATTTCACGGTCCTTCAGAGATGGTTTTTTTTTTACATGGGCCAGTCCATAATGTAGCGATCAACACTTTTTGTTATTTAAATAGTAGTGTATTTCTATATATTTCAAGAAAATCATTTTTTTTTTTACTTTTTAGTGCATTATTACATAAAAGTCTGTTATTAAAACTTTTTTTATGCATTTTTTTTTGACATTCTTTTCCCTATGATATTGCAAATGTTTACGCCTGGGCCCCGCCCTCTCCGGATATGACGTCAGAATGCTAATTAACATACAAACGTTTGCATCTAACTACCGCCAAGACTGTATAGTGACAATAATGCCTTGTTTGAACAATCGCTTTACAGACATTTATATGGTTTAAATAACCCAACATTTTTGTCGTGACTAAATCTTTGAACATCAAAACATCAGTGTTTCTTCCAGACTTTTTTCTCCGGGGGGGGGGGGGCACTTGAAATTTTCGGGGAGGCGGTAGACTTTCTTCGGGGGGGGGGGGCGGACACTGTTAAAAGTATATATTTTCTATATAAATTATATAAATTTCATTTCGTTCGGGGGGGGGGGGGCGGTAAAATTTTTTCGGGGGGGACCCACCCCCCCGAAGAGATGCCTGGAAGAAACTCTGCAAAACATTGAGTTTAAATAACCCAAAATTTTGTCATTACTAAATCTTTGAACAACGAAACATATTTTTCTCAAAGTTATAGAGTTTAACAATGTGAATGATTACATTGGCGTGTCTTGGCTGTCTATTATTTACTGAATGGTGAAATGAACCGTGGAGAACTTCCATACTTACACACAGAGTGTCCTCACACACACACTACTCATACACACAGTAGGCCTACTTACACTGCTCACACACACAATCCTCACACACAGTACATACACACACTGCTCACACACACAATCCTCACACACACAGTACATACACACACTGCTCCCACACACAATGCCCTCTCGTACACACACAGATACTTATGTTAAAGATATCTTTTGATCACTGTCCTATTGATCAATTTCGATTTATCGCTTACCTCCCCTCGAGTGCGACATTCATAAAGAACACCAGAGAGCATGTTACATCCTTAGTGGCTAGGAGAACTGTATAAAACAGGATAGAACCATATATGACATAAGGTTGTCGTCTGTCTCATAGATGACACCAGATTGTCATCATAATATCTCCTACGTGACATCTAGCTAAACTCATCCCCACACGATAAATCGCACCCCTTCTAGTACCCCCACCCCCAAAGAACCGCCCCCCCCCCCCCCCCCATGTGTATGATGAGCGAACAGAACGGTTTATCTTCTCTGCACTTTCTGTTGCCGGCATGCACGTTAGCAGATTCCCCGGCCACTTTTGAGACCCGTCCCCCGTTTGAAGAACGGTCTCCCAGCCTTTTAATGATGTTTTCTCTGTCCCATCTTCATCCTTTTGTTGACCAGAATGTCATCCAGCCTACCCATAGACGGGCTGTTTGGTAGCCCGGCCATTTGATACATAAGTCAACACACGCCGACTTCTTCTGCCGCGGCGTAAAGTAAACAAGCACCCGAAAATTGCGACACACAGAAGGGGGAGAGAGCCACAGAGGAGTAGAATAGTGTGTGCATTTTATTTCTGTACAGGGCCAAGATGGCGGAGATGGGGGTTGAATTTTTTGATGAGGTGGAAGTGAAAGTGAGTACTTGAAATGAATAAATACTGGCCCGAAAATCGTGGAGGGGAAAAAAAGGCGAAAAGAAAACACAACAGTACAAGGATCCTTGCTGGGAAGTCGTGTTGAAGTCTGGGTGTCGTCTGCCTGGGTTCCAGTCTGTTTTCTGAGAAGACAAAAAAATGGCGCCCACCGGAAGTGCATTTTGCCGGCATTAGCATTTTTATGTTATGTCTGGCCACGGGAGATCTCATGCATAAATATTGAAATAAATATATCTTTAAGATGGCCAGGCCAATGGACGTGGTCGTGGGGAATGTTTGCTCCGAGTGGGATCCGATGGACTAGTCTTTGGCGTCGCTGTTCCCCTGGTGTGAAGACGGCGTCCTACCAAATCAAGTGACCAAAGGGTCCACACTATCGTGGGTATAGAATCGTTTCGTCTCGTTTTGTCTCGAATGAGATTAGTAACTGGCTCTAAAGCGCGTCCATTTTTTTTACTTTCTATCTAGCCCGAACCTCATCTTTTTTCATCGTCTAATTGTGTCTTAAACTTTAACCTAGCCCAAACCCCGCCTGTGCTGGTCTAGTTGTCCCTGTAACCCGCCCCAGTCAAAGACAGTTTCCACCAAACATTTGCCTCTTTAATGAATCGATTCCATTGTATCGAGGCTTGTTAAAATCATTAGACGCTTAGATGGGCTTGGAAGGTGTTGGGCGCTGTTAGTTTAAATGTTAACTGTGGGTTTAAATGTTAACAGTGGGCTTGGCTGTGGGCTTGGCTGCCCTCTTATTTAGAGGGCACGTTCCCAGTTCCATCGATACCAAAATTGCGTACTCGATTATTTGTATTTGTTAACTCGCCATTTAAAAGTAAAAAAAAATGTTGGTTGGTTGGTGAGTAAAAAAAAATGGTCGGTTGGTTGGTCTAAGTGTTTGAGTCAACTGAGTATAAAATGGCGGGTTGATGAAGTCTTGAGACGACTGGATCCAACAAACACGTGACACAATGGTGACTGGCTGCCATTGATGTCCCGGTGGTCTCCGGCTGGTGTTTGTCTTCTTGTTTATCTGGCACTCGGGTGGGGCTGGAGCGGTGGTGCGTGCTGAACAGGGGAGGGGGTATAGGGGGGCCAGGGTGCTGGGGAGGGGGTGTTTGGGGGGTGCTGGGTGGGTGTTGGGGAACCGGGGGGCTGGGAAGGAAGTTTGGTGGAGGGGGTGCTAAGTGGAAGGTGGTGGTGGAGGGGTGTAAAGGAGAGGGTGGTGGTGGATGGGGTGTTAAGGAGAGGGTGGTGGTGGATGGGGTGTTAAGGAGGTGGTGGTGGATGGGGTGTTAAGGAGATAGTGTTGGTCAGGGGTGGTGGTGGAGGGGGTGCTAAGTGGAAGGTGGTGGTGGAGGGGTGTAAAGGAGAGGGTGGTGGTGGATGGGGTGTTAAGGAGGTGGTGGTGGATGGGGTGTAAAGGAGAGGGTGGTGGTGGATGGGGTGTAAAGGAGAGGGTGGTGGTGGATGGGGTGTAAAGGAGAGGGTGGTGGTGTAGAGGGTGTTAAGGAGAGGGTGGTGGTGTAGAGGGTGTTAAGGAGAGGGTGGTGGTGTAGAGGGTGTTAAGGAGAGGGTGGTGGTCAGTGGAGGTGGAGACGAAGAGAATGCGATGGAAGAAGGCAACAATGGTGAGAGAGAATGATTATTAACCGAGACGTACACGGAGGTAGAAAGGAGGGGGCGGGGGGAGGAGAGAGAAATGAGGAGGGGAGGAAGGAGAGAGAACAAAATATGTGGAGGGAGGTGCTGAGGAGATTTATTTTTAACGGTAATAACCCCACCCCCACCCCAAGAAATCGTACATGATATCGAGAAACCCATTTTATAAAATGCTCAGGCATTACTCACCATTTCGCCTGGTGTTCGCCAGTAGCCTGAGAATTCCCCTGTAACCTTACTCACTGCTTACCTGTAATGTTCGAGTGCTCAACTGTAACCCTAGACATGTATTTTGTTTACACGTTATGTACACGTGTACACAACTTTTTAACAAGTTTCAAAATTGTAAAAATACTTCAAGCAGAAAAAAATCAACAAAAAAAAAAAAAAAAAAAAAAAAAAAAAAAACAACGAAAAAAAAAACGAAAAAAAAAACAACGAAAAAAAAAAACCAACGAAAAAAAAAACCAACGAAAAAAAATGGATTTTTTTCTATTAATGCTAAAGGGCGGCAACTCGCTTGTTTTAAACCTGGGTTGCGTCCCTTTGTTCATGAAATATACAGGCACGAGATTCTTAATTTCTATTTAACATTTTTGTACACCCCAATCAGAACCCCCGAGGGCATGGGCTAAGGGAGCGAATCACGAGAAAGAAATCAGGGGCGAATTACTCCGTGTGTCGGAGCGGCCAGAAGATATTGGCGTTTCAGTGGCCGGTGTCAACGAATGGCAGCTTGTATCGGGAGGTAGGGTAAACAAACTGGGGTGGGGGGGTGGGGGGGGTGGCAACAACGGTAGCGGGGTGGTGGAGGGGAATTTTTTTTGGGGAGGGTAGGAGAGTGGCTGGTGTTAGTTAATGATGCTGTGATTCACAGCTGTGGGCCACTGTGTTAGTAGACGGCGGTGCTCAGGGTTTTCTTGTGTCGGCCCCCCACCCCCCCCCGTCCATGTGCCAGTCACTTCGGTCACCCGCTGTTGACTGCATCCGTCTCAGTCAGCCGCTTATGACTGCACCCACACACGAGGCGTGACGGTTGGTGTAACAATTGTAAGAAAGTTTTCTCAGGAATTTTCTCAAGTTTTTTTTTATTCAGGACTATCTTGTGTGTGTGTGATCATTCGTACACGGCGTGGGAACAATACAGTGATGTTTTAGTTCGTATTCATTGTGATATAGATCTGTTTTAACTTCTTTAGTCTACACACTATCTTATTTATTTGAATACGTTATTAATTACAAATAATTTATTTAATCAGTCTAGGATCTCGTTCAAATAATTTATGAAAATAAATTTCACCACGAGAAATATATTTATTTTTAGAAAGTAACTTATATATTTAATTAAGCTGGTGATCTACCTGTAATTAGTTGAGTATCGACTACTTTATGGACTCGATTCGTCCCCGTTAAGTAGGTTACAACAAACATTCAACTTTTTTCTTTCTCGCTACTCGACAGGAATAAGCCACTAGGGATAATCCAGTAGTGGATAAACCCCGTTAAGATTATCCTAAATTTAGAACAACTGCTAATCGCTTCCTGGTGACGTCTGTTTCTCGCACCTGTATCCTGTCAGCCGTGTCATGGATGTTACGTGTTTGAGAGGTCACTTCATGGTCCGTGTTAGAGAGGTCACTTCATGGTCCGTGTTAGAGAGGTCACTTCATGGTCCGTGTTAGAGAGGTCACTTCATGGTCCGTGTTAGGTCACTTCATGGTCCGTGTTAGAGAGGTCACTTCATGGTCCGTGTTAGAGAGGTCACTTCATGGTCCGTGTGAGGTCACTTCATGGTCCGTGTTAGAGAGGTCACTTCATGGTCCGTGTTAGGTCACTTCATGGTCCGTGTTAGAGAGGTCACTTCATGGTCCGTGTTAGAGAGGTCACTTCATGGTCCGTGTTAGAGAGGTCACTTCATGGTCCGTGTTAGAGAGGTCACTTCATGGTCCGTGTTAGAGAGGTCACTTCATGGTCCGTGTTAGAGAGGTCACTTCATGGTCCGTGTTAGAGAGGTCACTTCATGGTCCGTGTTAGGTCACTTCATGGTCCGTGTTAGAGAGGTCACTTCATGGTCCGTGTTAGGTCACTTCATGGTCCGTGTTAGAGAGGTCACTTCATGGTCCGTGTTAGAGAGGTCACTTCATGGTCCGTGTTAGAGAGGTCACTTCATGGTCCGTGTTAGAGAGGTCACTTCATGGTCCGTGTTAGAGAGGTCACTTCATGGTCCGTGTTAGAGAGGTCACTTCATGGTCCGTGTTAGGTCACTTCATGGTCCGTGTTAGGTCACTTCATGGTCCGTGTTAGAGAGGTCACTTCATGGTCCGTGTTAGAGAGGTCACTTCATGGTCCGTGTTTGTTAGATTGTGACGTCATTTCACGGTCCATTAAACACATTCTACTGATGGTTTAATGAGCGGTCCATGGACCCAACACATGTTTTCTTGACACGTGTCTTGTCGCATGTAGTAACGGCACCTTGACCCGACCTTATAGTGTGTCATATGGTGCCGTGTCGTATGGTGCCGTGTGTCGTGTCGTATGGTGCCGTGTGTCGTATGGTGCCGTGTGGCCCATTATTGCAGCAACTAACTGCCAGCGTATAGCCCAAGTAACAGCATACATTCACCCCGTCGATTGTTTTAGTGTGGGGGTCGAGCCTTCACGAGCCTTCAACACCCCCCGCCCCTTTCCCCCCACCCCCTTGCACACAGACCTCCTCTGTTTTAAAGTCCCCCCTCCCCCTCCCTTACATACAAGACCTGAACTCCTTAAATTAATGGCAATCTTTCAGTCAGCTTTTGACATATCCGACTTGATCAATTAGAGCTAAACTTGATACAGCGTGCTGCATATCATTCCCTCGCTAGAGATTGATCATTCCCTAATAAATGTAGCCATTGTCCCAGCTATACACGACGTGTAGCTACTAGTAGCTAGAAGCTATTGCTAGAACCAAACAATACATAGACTATATTATATTTGATATGAAAACAGGATAGTCTGAAGGTGCTGTATTTCGTAAACTCTTTTAATATAGTTTTAGTTTATTTTAATTTTAAACAGCTTTTATTAACTTTACCAGTATCGTCGCGATAACCCCCACCATAGGCGTAAACTTGCGACTAGAATAAGTTTTAGGCTCATCTACCCAACTGATTTGTTTCAAACTTGATACCTGGGTCAAATAGTTTGACGTAAACTTTGAGACAATTTAGTGATTAATCTTAACTTTTGAGGTGCTTAAGCCCTATTTAATTTCTAAAAAAATCATATTTGATGGATGTATAAGAAAAGCAAAGATCGCTTATAAAATTAAAATATGTCATAGGATGTTCAGTCGCAAATAAATTTTAAAATTGTATCCACTTTTAGTTGTTGTAGTAGTTATGTGATAAAAATAATTTTCCTATTTATATTAAAGATGTGCCTATAAAAACTCATTTTAATACACATCATAGCCAAACACGCTTTTCAATATTGGTGTATTTTTAGAGAAAATTTATTTTTCTCCTGAGTTTATGTAATTACAAAAACGTGGTGTTGTTAATGTTTTGATATGTATTTTTTTAAAGGAATGACGTCCACTTTTGTGATGTCGGCGACTTAAAAAAATTAGGAAAATATAGGTGTTTAAACACTTGTACTATCTTGGTATTGATCGAGTCTTTAATTGTCTTTAAAAATAGTGCAGTCTATTTAATTATTGTACTTTGTATTTTTACTTTCTGATGACTTAATTGAAATAAATCACTCGATACACATCTGCTAACCGTCATAGATTTTTCAAGTTTAATTACCGTTTTAAACTATTAGCCAACATTTTTTTTTAAATAGTCTACAATAAACTACACAAAGTTTTTAAGGATGTTTCTTTAGTGTGCTAGAGTTAAGACAAAAAAGTTTCAAATATTTCCCGTTTTAACTGGTTGCAAGTAGTTTAAAAAAAATATTTATCGGACATCGGTTTAAAATCTCCCACAGTTACGTAGTGATGAGCTAGGCCTAATTAAGTATTGTAATTTTGTCAAAACAGCTTAAGACATGTTGCTACTGCACATCTCTGTCCTGACATAAAGCCGTGATTTGAACTCGGTTCATTCGATGTGATTTATTTGTGTCGCTTCAACACGGATGTGATTTATTGATGACGTACGATTCTCTGTGACGTACGTGTTGGTATGACGCGGTGATCTGATTTATTGATGACGTACGGTTCTCTGTGACGTACGTGTTGGTATGACGCGGTGATCAGTGCCAGGTTGTATTGCCACGAGAGAACGAGGGCCACACACAAGTGTCAAGATGTACATTGGATAGACTCGGTCATCACAAACAGCTCACAGCACTAACAGCAGGGATACGGTTGGAAAGTTACCTGCTCTCCTGGTCACGTACGTAGACCTGTTGGATACTTGCATCCATAACCTGGATACTTACATCCATTGACCAGAGGCTGGATACTTACATCCATTAACAGAACCTGGATACTTACATCCACTGACCATATGCTGGACACGTATATTGACCAGGGATGTGGGTCTTGAGACATGCATGAATTCCTCAAGATGCAGTGCTATCCTGATTTCACGGTAAGGCCACCATCCCTCTAATTAAATCTCTACCAAGCAATCAGTGAGAACTGACCTGTAGGAATCTGTTACACATATTGTATGTGTAAACATGCTATGTATTGTATTCATGTGAGGTGTGACATAAATAACAACATACATGACTTGTAAGGTATATTTAACTCACTGGGAATGCTGTTATGGTTTAATTTGGGGGTTGGGAGTTTGTAGGTAATGGTTATTATGGTAATGGTCAGCTTGGTAATGGACAGCTAGGTAATGGATAGCTAGGTAATGGCTAGCTAGGTAATGGCTAGCTAGGTAATGGCTAGCCTGATAATGGTCAATCAGTTGATGGTCAGTCCGGTAATGGTCTGCTTGGTACCGTATGTGTGGGGCACATGGGCTACCTTATGTGTGGGGCACATGGGCTACCTTATGTGTGGGGCACATGGGCTACCTTATGTGTGGGGCACATGGGCTACCTTATGTGTGGGGCACATGGGCTACCTTATGTGTGGGGCACATGGGCTACCTTCCTGGTGTCGTCTCGTGCACGTGGTCCAACATGTTTTGTTTACAGATCCGTATCTATGGCAACTGTCAGATTTGTATCGCGTCTGCTTACAATAAACATGAGTGGGATTGTGGGATTGCCTCCTGTTATTTCCATCTGTCGATTCTAACCTATAACCTAACCTGAGGAATCTTTCAGAGGTACAAGGGAAGTGACATCATCACCCCCCCCCCCCTCCCTGCTTGTAAAGTGACCATTCTAAAAATAGCCCTAATGCCAATACTACACAAATAAATACTCTCTGCTCACAAACCGGAAATGGGTATCGTGTTTTGTTTGTAAATTCTGTTTGTGTAAGTATGTTTATGTGTGTTGTATGGTGTTTATGTAATCGTACATGTCTCTCAGTGTCTATGTGTATGCGAGAGTATGTGATCCTTGTGATAAACAAATCAAGTTTGGTCAAAATGAAGTTATCACCGCCCAGCAAAAATAGATGGTGTTGTTGTTGATCTAACGCTGGTCAGACGATAGTGGACTGCTAGTCTGTCGTTAAACCAGCTAAACCCAGTGTGTTGATATCAAGCTTTAATTACATGGCAGTCTATCTTTGGTGTTGATGTATTCATTAGCTAGGTGGTGATGTGTTGATAAATCGACTTTATCAACATCCCCTTTTCAACAGCCTGTGTTTATATGTTGTCTCACAACATCAACCATCTGTGTACAGCTAACGGTCTTGACTCCCCCCCCCCTCATCATTTGTTATTGCAGTGACAACAGGAACGGATATGACCCTCATTAAATGACCCTTGGAATTAGCATTTTAATTGCCCTATAATGACTCAGTTAGGCCGTTTCATAAGAAAGAAAAAACATTAATAAATTTTTATTATTTAACACTGACACAACAATCAACTACAATATACATTCCCCCTCCCCCTCCCCATATATATAAAGTTGTAGCCCTGTTTATACAATCTCATACAATCTCACTGATGTACACAAGACACAAGCACATCATCTGTAACAATTACACCTCCCCGCCTGTACAGGTAATCAACATATCACCTGTACAGGTAATCTACATATCACCTGTACACCATGTTACAATCACACACCCCCCCCCCCGCCTGTACAGGTAATCAACATATCACCTGTAACAATCACCCCCCCCCCCCCCCCCGCCTGTACAAGTAATCAACATATCACCTGTACACCGTGTTACAGATAGAATCACCTGTATATTACCTGTCTCCCCACACATATTTCTAACATGGCTGTAAGCTATAGGTCGTCCGTTTTTTTTGTTTATTCTCCTCCACCTATTGTCCACCCCCCCCCCCCCCAATGTTTCATAAACTCGTCATTTTTATTCTTCCTATGATTTATTTTTTATCTTAAATCCCTCGAGTTTTTTAAAGCTAATTTTAAACCTGGTTTATCTAATTGCTGACCTCGTATAACTTTAGTAGTGTTATAATTTCTTTATGTTTTATAATTTATAAAAATCTGAGTTGTGTGTTTCCCTATTAACGATTGTGTAATAAAATAAAAATAAACGCCTACAACACAATTTATGTTACCTGATTTTTTTGACATACTGGGTTTGGGCGCTTGTTAAATGGTGATCGGTCAGATTGATTTTGGTTTTAAAGTTTTTGTGACATTATTTTCAAACTTGTTTTATAAATTTTAAAATGTGTTTTCACTTTGTTACTTCTGGTTGAATTAAAGTCCAACTGAGTTTATGGCCGCTTTATAAAATACAACTTTTTTCATCTGATGGTTTGACTTCAGACTTTATTCATCTTATGGTATAACTTTATTTACCTGATGGTATGACTTAAGACTTTATTTACCTGATGGTATGACTTAAGACTTGATTCACCTGATGGTATGACTTAAGACTTGATTTACCTGATGGTATGACTTAAGACTTTATTGACCTGATGGTATGACTTAAGACTTGATTCACCTGATGGTATGACTTAAGACTTGATTCACCTGATGGTATGACTTAAGACTTTATTCACCTGATGGTATGACTTAAGACTTGATTCACCTGATGGTATGACTTAAGACTTGATTCACCTGATGGTATGACTTAAGACTTGATTCACCTGATGGTATGACTTAAGACTTGATTCACCTGATGGTATGACTTAAGACTTGATTCACCTGATGGTATGACTTAAGACTTGATTCACCTTAAGATAAGTCCGATCAGCCCGCCATCTTTCTTGCCCTAAATAAACAACGGATTAAAGATGGCTATCTACTGGGGTCACATGGTGCGACCGACTCAAATCGTTGGGCATACGATGGGCTTTAGGTTAGGTCTGTTAAACTTATCCGGCTAAATATAGCCCAAAATACATTTTTTTTGGTTGAAGTCGTTTTCAGACCAGCATCTTGGTGGTCATGCTTAGAGGTCAACAACCCCTGTGTGTGCCCCCCCCCCCCCACACACTGTTCTACTTGTTAGTCTAACCCTATATCCTGAACTACCGTCGAAACTTTATTTAAAAAGCAGCTTATAAACCACTTTAATTAATTGCTTTCTTGTCGTCAACTTTCGCTATTAAGCTGCTAAAAATTGCTATCTATATATGGATTAATGCCTGATTATAATTTTTTAAATTTTATTTTGGTTTATATTGTCGTTTATCAAACGGGCAATCAACAAAAAGAATAGTTTCAAGAAAAGGTTGTAAAAGCTAATCCACCCCACCCCCCCGGCTAACACCCTCCAAATATCCATACGGTTAATCCATAGCTTCGAGGATTAACGATCTAATCTGACCCTTAGTCCTCCTATATGGCTGACTTTTTGTTTGTGTGCTGACTCTACTGGTTACCTCTGGATGACCTGACATGGCCTCTTCGTTCTTGTGTGACCGGCAGTCCTACAGGACCTTGTCACCGTCCGACGAACGGGCGTCTACACACGGGTCCCTACAGAACGAGACAGACAGACAGACACACACACAGACACACACACACACACATACGCCGCCTCACACACAACCTGACAACAAGATTGTCGTGACACAGCTGTTGTGACACTGTGACAAGTTACCCTAGCTCGTCTTATTGCCTTGGGGTGTGGGGGGGGGGGGAGAAGGGAGACAGAAGGGTGTTAAATGGAATGTTACACTTCTCACCCATATATGTATGTATATCTTTCTATTGCCATAGGGCAGCAGCAACACATTGTCACGTGATCTGATCTGTTTGTCAGACAACAACTTTGTCAGATGACAACTGTGTCAGATGACAACTGTATCAGATGACAACTTCCCTACAGATGACAACTGTGTCAGATGACAACTGTATCAGATGACAACTTCCCTACAGATGACAAAGCCAGCAAAACTTGTATGACTGACGGCTTAATGCGGTATGGACGGGGTATACAAGGATTGTAGTGCGGCCATTTTGTCGCCGGCCTAAATCTGCTGAGTTTGATTGGGTGGACGCCGGATAAAAATAGCTGCGTCGTTTGTCTGGGCCGTGTGGTTGTCTGTGGGCCCATATCTGGACATGGTGGTCACTCTTGTGGCCGCCGTGGTGGTGGTGTGGGTAGCCACAAGGTATGGTCATTTTATTTTTTTATTACCATATTGTCGGTGGCCATAATGTTGATGGCCATGTTAGCTACACTGATGTAAATCGTCATAATTTTTGGCCACGTATTTACTCCTCTAAAAATAAACGCATGCTAATTACAGAGTTGGGCCCAAACGCGGAAAAACTGCTGTATCCGTCTAGCATTAAATGCGTGATAACTTATATCCCTCGAATTGTCCCCCTTGGAATAATTCAACAATTACCTGTCCCGATGAAAGCGATGCTATAAATACATACCAATAAAACGTTAAACAAGGAAGAAGAAAGCAGTGCATCATGGGCACTAAATCTGCCATTGCGGGGTTTTTGGACGTGTCTAAATTTAAACCAGTGGGCCGTTTCTCTTGTCAGTCAGAGGAGAAACATTTTTCTCGGGATACGACAGGCAGATAAACCGTCCGGACTGTCAACATTTCATGCACACGTTAACTTTTTCATGTCAACATTTCATGCTCAAGTTAACTTTTTAAAACGGTTCACATTTCACACAGAAATAAACATTTTAGTGTCAACATCTCATGCACACGTTAACTTTTTCATGTCAACATTTCTTGCTTAAGTTAACTTTTAAAAAACTTTTCACATTTTACACAGGAATAAACATTTTAGTGTCAACATTTCATGCAGAACTTTTTAAAAACCTTTCTTCTTTTGTTACCTACTTCCACTTGTGAAGCATGGTACCAGCTTTGTAACTGTCAATTATTGTCTTTTTTAAAAAATAAGGTAATCAAACATCAGGTCACCAGATTTCGTGCTGTGAAATACGTCTTCAGATGAAATTGTTTAACTGATGACAATGGTCAGTGTTAAAGAAATAATGATTTGATTAAAGTTTAATTAGAAGGTCAGCTGGGAACACCTTGACCCA